TTATTGCCTCACCTAAACTTGCACTTTGGACAATCGATTCCATTTTCAGCCAAATGTTTTGCCACAGCGGAAGCTTGATTTTCCGGATCATTGGCATCTTTCCATTCGGCGAATTTCTCACATGTGAGTCCTTCATGTTGCTTCTCCCACTGGAGAACAGATTGTTCTTCATGTTAAACAGTACAGATAATGTTTGTTGTTCTTACCGGTCTTCGGCAGCCTGCACACGTGACGGATTTGCAATCGGGGCAAATGAGACGCTTCTGCCTCGGATGGGCGATAAACCCTGAAGAACACTGAAAAAGAAATGTTATTTATGTGGTATCCTTCGGATTGGTTGACGTTCGGTTTACCTGGACACACCATTTGAAGTTTGGGTCTTGCATTAGGGTTCTGTCCCTTAGTTTCTGCTGAAATAGTTCATGGACTGGAGGCTCCAGAATGCCTTTTAGTAGAATATCCAGGTTACCGAAGTAGTCAGAGATTTCGTCCTCCGCAGCTGTTGAGTGGCTGCAATTTAGATCCGAATAAGCAGAATTACTCACCATCACCTAAGTTTCCTACCTTAAGTCTGGTGATTTGCAAAAAGGGCAGTTGCAATCCGTAATGCTCCGATCAGTTATTTGTACTGTGAAGTAGTTTTTCGCACATTCCTGGCAGCAGCGATGAGTGCATTTCAACATAGATATTATCTGAAGAAAATTAGTTAACTACACTCCTCAACTCAAACCATTATCACTCACATTATTCATCGGATATTTTCCAGCACACAACTCGCAGTCTTGTTGCAAATATGCAATGGCTGCATCCAAGCTGCTGCAGTCTTTTACCGCATCCAGGGCTTCTTCCGAGGAAAAGTTCAACGCCATCAAGCTGGCAGCCAATTCAGCCTGAGCGTAGTTCTTCACCTGTCCTTCTGCCAAGAATCTTCTGGCCTGTCTCTAATAAACAATAAAACTTACAACTATGAGCCACCAATACACTTACACTTTAACATTGCATTTCTCCTCTGTCTCACCTCCGTTATTTCGAAATCGCTCGATTCTTTTCTGTCTACATTAAATTGATCAGGCATGAACTCATCTTCAATAAATTCTCCTCGATCCTCATTGCTTTCAGTTTCGTCCAACTCGATCTCTTCCTCAGAGTCGTACTCTTCTGATTCGCAGGTTTCTTCGATCGAGTAGTTATTGAACATTCTGTCCTTTCCGTCTAGATTTGAAGTGAGCTCATTCACCCGAGCACTAATTTGATTAACGTTTATATTAAGTTCTTGAGCCAGTTGGGTTTTTTTCTCTTCGAACGCCTGATAGTCTTCCGAGTCGCTTTGCATAATGCTTTCGTTCGTTTCTTCGAAGTCGTCCTGGAAATCTTCAAAGTCATCATCAGACAGCAGTTCCTCAACATTGCTGTCTGATACTGAGCTTTCGCTATCGTTGTCCAAGCTTTTGGTGTAAGACATTTTTTTGGAGCTGGTAGTGGAGTCAAATGAGCTGCGGAAGGAAGGATGGGAAATTTTTCTGTTCAAGTTCTTGACGTTCTTCACTGAAGTGGCCATCTCTTGCCCAATTTCATCGCTCTTGTTTGAGTGGGACGAAGATTTCCTAGACAGACTTCGTCTTTGCTCGAAAGATCTAGAAGTGCTGGGTCTGTCTTTTTCCATCGGTTTTGGTGAAAGGCTCCTGGTTTCAGTCGGAGCTTTTCCATCAACTTTGGCCTCTTCAGTGCATATTTTATTGTTCTGTTCATTTGTGTCTTCAGTAGTTTTCTCAGAAACAACAGGAGATTTCTCCTTTCGTGCTGCACCGATTGACCTTACAGGGATTTTGCTTCCTGCCGAATTGAGTGGCTTAGTGTCCTTTGAAACGGAATTTTGACGGGTTATTACAGGAATTTTCGAAGTTGGCCTCTTACTGAGCATTGTTTGATTATTTTGGGCTATTTGTATCTTGGTGGAAATGACTGGTTTGTCTTCTGCGATGTCTTTTTCAGCCTCCATCAAACTTGCAAAGTTTGCCTCATCCGGATGGTTGGAATTAGCAATCAGCGCTCGAGCTGCACTATCCAGTGCAAATTCCTGCTTTTCTTCAATCGGAGAATCAGGCGTTGGCTTCACAATCATGTTTTTATACTTTGCATACTTTTGACTGTCTGATTTCTTCACAGGCCTTTTCCGTTCCAATCTGGGCTTTGCTGCATCCAGGTCCTCTTGTTCTGCGGTAGTATTTTCGAATTTACTCACCATGTTTTTAACGTTGTTATCATTTATTATCGTGAGAGTTTTTTCTTCTGGAGTCACTTCAGGAGCGTCACTGTTTGACTCAGTTGTGCTACTGCTGCTCTCCTTTCGGATTAATGAAGCTTTTTCAGCCCGATGTCGAGCTTTTCTCGACGATTTACGGTGGTTGCAAGTAAGTTTTCTGGCTTTTGGTCCGCGCGGAGGTAAGTTTTCCTTTGCTTCTTTGCTTGCAATACTGTTTTCATCTTCATTTGTATTTTCGACTGGAGTGACTTCTTCTGTTGCTATATGGTTATCTTCGTTTGCTTCCTGTCTTACTCTATTTTCTTCATCTTTCATCCCAATCTCCTCTATGCATTCAGGTAGTTTTTCTTCAACACAACTGGCTTCCTCAGTTGGAATATTTGCGTCTTTAACTAATTTGTCATTCCCATTTTCACTAGCAATTTGTGCTTCAGATTGAGACTGCTGTTCTTGGACTGTACTTGTTTCCTCAGTTGCAATATTGCTGTTTTCCTTTGCGTCTTTAGTTATACTGTCTTTTTCATTATCAATCGTAATTTGGGCAGATCGAGGTTGGCTGTCTTCAACTGAACTTGTCTCAGTTGCAATACTCTTGTTTTCCTTTGCTTCTTTAGTGTGTTTATCACTTTCATGTTCGATCGCAATTTGATGCTCGGATTCAGGCTGACTGTCCTCGACAGAACCAGTTTCTTCAGTGGCTCCATCGATATCTTCATTTAATACTTCAGATGGAATTCTAACTTCATCAGGCCCTTGTTTGTTATAGTTTTCGTCAATTATTGAGCCTGAAAGCTCATGATCTTCTGCTTCCGCGTTTTTCGTGTGGGCAAAAGAAGTTTTAGAACCGTCTGTCCCATTAATACACATCATAGGATTTTCGCATTGGTCTTCATTTGCCGGCATATCCAAAACGATGCCGAAACATTCGATTTCTTCATTATTAACGTGTAAATCTTTTTGTGTAGTTGGTTCAATTTTCACAGTTTTTTCCAGGTCGATTTGCACGGTGTTTTCAAAAGTCCCCGCCCCGTTTTTATCTAAAGCCTTTGTTGATGCGGTCTGACTATTTGTTTTGTGGACATTTTCAACTGCCTTAACTGGTGAACCATTTAAAGCATTTGCTTCGGGTTGTGTAGCTTTAAATACAATTTCAGCGGTGCTTTCCTTAATTTCTTCACCTTGCGGAGTGGAAGGATCCTCAACTCTTTGAGCCAGCGCTTGGTTGCTCATCAATTGAAGGTTTATGATAGTTACGCTTATTTTGCGTGTTGGGCTGCTCTTGGTTGTAGATTTTGCCTCCAGAATCTTCGAATCATTTTCCTGTTCTTTATTAAAGTTACTATTAAGGTCCACTTGATCATTGCTCGATGGTTGCTCGAAAGATGCTGTGGGATCTTCAACAGCATCGACAAATTGTTCATCTCCTATTGCATTGTCATCGCTTGAACTTGAAGATTCTGAGTCTGGAGTTTTTTGCATTTTGGTCGAGTCAAAACCCACAGTGTCCACAACTTGAATGACTGTGCTGCTTTTTTCTACGTAGGCCTTTGGACTTTGGGGTTCTTGCAAGTTTACTACTAATGGATGTGTGGGGGCTTCTACAGTTTGCAGGAAAATTTTAGAGAAGTTTGCCACTTTTGAACTATTTTCCGAGGGTGCCAAAACATCCTCTTGTCCTGTATTAGTAGGATCTTCACTCATTTTAACTGAAGCAGCGGGGTTAACGAAGGATTCTATTGGCAAATTTTTTTTTTGGCGCTCAGAAGCTTCTCCTTCTCTATCCTGCTGGCTTTCCGTGCTTGAGGTGGTTGAAATGGAAGTATTCAGATTTGGAGGCACAAAATCGCTATTTAAGTTATTAATTTCCTGGATATTTTTAAAAATTTCATCTTCAAGCGCGTCGAGGGATTTACGCATGCTACTTCTATCTTGATCTACATTTAATTGCGTGGGGTTATCTGGAAAATTTGGAGTTTTTTTTAACTCCTGAGGACTAACAGGGCTGCTTACGTTCGGAGAGGAAGATTGTTCGACACTTTGGTCGGAATTAGTTGAGTTTAAACTTACCGCTTCAGCTTGTTTTTTTAATCGTTTCTCATCTTCACTGAGCAAATCTATAAAATGAAAGAGTCGATATTTTTGAATTATTGCATTGATGATTTATGTGGGTTTTGTTTTAGAAATGTGTTTTTTTCTTGAGCGTGAGCCCAAAACGCAAAATCCACATTATCATACATATAATTTTAAGCAATTATTTGATGAGTTTAGCTTAGCAATATTATAAGAGCTGGGCGGCAATTGCGTGAAACTGACGAGATTTTTTGGGTTTTTAGGCCGTCGTGAAAAGGGTTTCTTTCGCTCGTTTCTTCAGAAGTGGTTTTTGAAGTTTTGCTTGTAGTTTTTCTTGGGTCTGCGATAAAATTAATTTTTATTTCGGCAATTTTTCGGGCAATTCCAACTTCTGCGTATTTTCAGAACTTTTGCCTTTTACATTGGTACTGTTTTTGCGTC